GGCACTACCATAATTTTCTATTCCAAAAGATATCGACCGTAAATGAAAAAATTGTTTACGTAGTAAAACGAAAAGGCATTCAAGTTGATATACATGAAAATTGCCTAGGAATCTTTGATTCTCTCTTGTGCCTCAGTCGAAAGTGGACCACACTCCCAGCCAACATTTCACTAGAATGTTTTAATACATGCTTTCATAAGGTCTTTAAATGGCCACGAAACCCCAACAGCAGTGCAGGGGTCCTTATGGTCCACCACTTTAGTTGAGGGAACAGTCAAATGGGGATATATAAGTTCTACTTTCTTTGGTTTACTGTTCTCAAATGGGTGAAAACTATAGTACATGGGAAAGTCGAAGACTTTTCCCCATTTTTCTTTGTTGTCAAACGCACACTTAAAGAAACGTAGGACTCTCTGAAAGAAATATATTTATCAGATAAGAATATCTCTAGGGTGTATGAACTATTTGAGAAAATATTTCAATTGCAACATGGAAATAAGAGTGTGAGTGAATGTTATAGTGCCAATAGAGGTATGTGGGAAGAGCCCTATATCTGGTGATGCGGAATTACAGAGGAAGTAGCATGAAGACTTCAGCGTTGAGAAATTTCTATTAGGTCTTAATCCTGAGTACCATCCTATTTGTGGACGAATTTGGAAAGTAGTGAGCTATTGTCCCCTAATGTGCATGCACGCATTCAATGCATCAATATATCTGCTCTCCTACACCTTCTGGTCAAACGTTGGTGAGGGATTGGCATTGAAGACATTTATACGGTGCGGTAATCAAGGCAGATGTTGGGTCTGTGGTTGTGGCTCAGGAAGGGGCCGTAATAGAGATGATGGAAATAGTGGTCATAGAACTCGAGTCTGTACTCATTGCGGGTGTACAAATCATTTAGTTAATAAGTGTGGGGATAAGATTGTTAAGCTTGCTTGGGCAAATCAGGTTACTTACACATATGAGAGTAATGATGTTTATCTAAATGGACCTAGTGATCATTGACAACTATCAAATTCTGTTGGTGACTTTGTTGTGCTTTTAAGAGAAGAATATAATAAACTTGTTAAACAAGTTCAACAACCTACTATCCATCCTTCCACTTCTGCTTTCGATGTGCTTCTTACATCCCAAAAACCTACTCCGTGGGTTGTTGACTCTGTTGTGCTTTCAAGAGATGAAATTAAACTTGCTAAACAAGTACATGAGCCTACTATCCGCCCTTCCACTTCTGCTGCCACCCTTGCTAACTCACGTGCTTCTATGCTTCTTGAATCTCACCTACTCATTGAATTATTGACTCAAGAGCTTCCAGCCAACTGGTGAGTCCTCAGTTTTGGTATCTCTAGATAAAGTGTGTTCCTAATTCCTGTATTACTTTGGCTAATAGATCACTATCTTGTGTGTCCGGACATAGTGTAGTTATGCCTACCTCTTCCTCTTCCTTGTCCTTTGTGCTATGTTTTCAGAGTTTCCTTTCAATTTGTTGTCTGTGAGTAAATTAACAAATCTCTTCATTGCTCCATAACTTTTTATCCTTCTTATTATGTGATTAAGGAACTAAGGATGAGGACGATTGATGATGGGAATGAGTCATGTGGCCTAGGCTATTTGGATCATAACCTGATTGGTGCTATTCTTCATTTTATTTCTTCTCCCTTATTATGGAATTGTTGGCTGGACAATAACTTGAAGTTATTAGTCCTTTCTTTAGGGCCTATTTCTGCTTTAGAGTGGGAGGCTTGGCAGTGAGGCGAGCATCATAGGGTGTCATTTCATCAAAAAAATGATAAACAAAGACCTGTTCCATTTACAGTTGTTCATTCGATATCTTGGGTCCTGCTAGAGTATAAAGTTTGTCGGGTCATAGATATTTTCTAACTTTCTTGGATGATTATTCATGAATGACAATGTTATATTTAATTAAAGTGGGATGTGCGGTTTTCTTCATTTCTAAAATGTTTCACAAAGATCCGAAACTCAATTTTATAAGAATATGTGAATATGTGTTTTACGTTCCGATAATGCTAAAGAGTATCTTTTTAAAAAATTTTAAATTTATTTTCCTCAAAATGGAACTTAGGTCAAACTTCTTGTTTGTGTACTCAACATAATGGGTTTATTGGAAGGAAAAATCAACATTTACTTGAAGTAACCCACACTGCTAATTGCATGCATGTTCCAAAAAGTTTATTGGGGAGTTGCTTGCTGATCTCATGTTATTTAATTAATCGTATGCTCGTTCAGTTTTGAATAGAAAAATACCACATCTTGTTCTCTTTCTTGATACTCTATTGTTTGTTGTTTCTCCTTGAATGTTTGGGTGTGTTTGCTTTGTTCATGTATTAGGTACTGGGAATGATAAGTTACACTGCTAGCTGTCTAGTGTGTTTGTTTAAGATATTCATACTTCCACAATGGTTATTGTTGCTATCATTCTGATCTACAATAGAATTTCTACAATAGACTTTTGTTTGTGTTACCTTTTTTTAAGATACTCCCTATTTTTCAGAAGAGGGTCTTTTGCTTGATACAAATTTCTTTTATCATGCTTCGAAAGAATTCTCAAAGTCCCCATCTTCTATAGTTCCTCGTCCTGTTCCTCTTGATACTTCTTCGCCTTAGTTACTTGGCGTTGTTGAACCTATTTACCTCTACACATCATAATGTTCCTTATGAGCAGCCCATAAATGTTCACATGATTAGAAAAGTGCAGGATGGATATCCTCCACTGACTCAGCCAACCACTCAATCATCATCTTCCCCTACAGATCCACTTCCTACTTCTCACATTCTGTGTCCGGGGATGATAATGTACCTATCGCCATCTGTAAAGATATAATGTCTTGTACTAAATATCCCATTGCTTATTTTGTTACCATTACAAATTTGCCGCCATGCTATCAAAGTTTTGCTCTAGCTTTTTCATCTATTTCGATTCCTAAGTTTTTTATTAGGCAGCACTTTCTCGTACTGGATGGAAGAAAGCAATGGAAGAGGATATGGATGCACTCAACATGGATGATACATGGGAGCTTACTAAGTTATCAGCTGGTTGTTGAGTTTATGCAATAAAACAACAGCCTGACGGCACTGTCAAGAGAATAAAAGCCAGATTAGTTGCCAAAGAATACACCCAAACCTTTGGCATTGATTATGTTGAAAATTTTGCTCCTAGTTATATCTTTAGCATCAAATAAGGTTTTTCTTTTGTGGCAGCTTGATGTTAAGAATGCATTCTCCATGGTGATTTGCAAGAAAAGATGGATATGGAGCAACCACCTATTTTGTTGCTTAGGGTGAGTCAGGCAGGGTATGTAAGTTGAAGAAAGTCATTCATGGTCTGAAGCAGTCTCACGTGCATGGTTTGAGAAATTAATGAAGTTGTTGTGGCATATGGATTTCAACGAAGCCATGCAGATAATTTAGCACTTATTTAGAAATAGGACTCCAGGATAATTGTTTTAGTTGTTTATGTTGATGATATTGTCATTACATGTAATGATCAAGAAGGAATCACTCATTTGAGGAGTCATCTAAAACAACATGTTCAAGCCAAGGATATGGGCCACATGTAATATATTTCCTAGGAATTGATGTAGCTAGATTAAAGCATGGCATGAGCTTGTCTTAAAGAAAGTACGCGACTGATTTATTTATAGAAACTGGAATATTAGGTGCTAAACCAGTTGATACTCCTATGGATTCAAATACAAAATTGCTGGCTTATAAGGGGGAGTTGTTTGAGGATCCAGGTTGGTACAGAGGACTAACAGGCAGACTGATTTATTTGATCATTCCTAGGCATGATATTGCTTTTGTTGTAAGTGCAGTGAGTCAGTTTATGCACTTTCCCATGATTCCTCACCGGGATGCTGTTCGTAGAATTTTGGGGTATCTGAAGGGAGCTCCAAGCCGAGGTTTGATTCACGAGCCAAATAATGATTTGACCATTGAGAATTACTCAGATGCTGTTTGGGCAAGTTCTCCATTTATCATGCAGTCTAGCACAAGCTATTGTACATTCATTGGTGGAAATCTAGTTATGTGAAGAAGTAAAATGTCGTGGCTAGATCTTGTGCAGAGTCTAAATATAGAAGAGTGGCACATACTACATATGAATTGATGTGACTGAAGACACTAGTACAACAGATGGGTTTACTATTGCTAAGCCTATGGAGATATATTGTGATAATAAATATACAACCTATATAGCCAATAATCCATTTCTTCAAGAGATAACTAAGCATATTGAAGTAGATTGTCATTTTACTTGAGAGAAGGTTACTAGTAAGCAAGTGTCTAATCCGTTTGTGAAATTTGAGGATCAGTTGGCAAACTTCTTCACTAAAGCCCTTGATCATAATCTGTTCCAAACAATTTGTTCCAAGCTCGACATGGGTGATATTTATGCTCCAGCTTGATGGGAGTGTTAAATGTCCTTTTATCTTTATTTCTCATTCATTTAAGTTATTAAGACCTTCTATCATGTTTCCAGTTTGTATAGGCAGTATTGCCATTTTATTATATGCTTTGTATTCCTCCTCCTCCTACCCCTCCCCCTCCCCCTCCCCCTCTCCCTCTCTCTTTTTGGACACAGTTTCCATGTGTAAAACTCACCTAGTGAATGACAAGTTGACTCAAGTGAGTATTTATTCACTTGTTAAACTTCCCTTATTCTTTGTGAGAAAGCTAATACATGGTTTGCTCCTAGCTATTGTTGTCCAAACTCATACAGCTGCATTTCGATCTGCTCATTGATGTTTTGTTGCTTTGGACAATGTTGGGAACACATACGGTTTAAAGTTTCTAGAAAAAAATGGGTATCTTATAATAAAAAATGATTTTGACCATGATTTGGCTCAATTTAACAGCTTCAGTTCTATCCATTTGATTTAGTTAGAAGTTTCCCACTTTGCTTTACATGGGACATGACATTACTTTTCATTAACTCTTCTTCGTTTGTGGCTAGCCATTGACCTCAATTACTATTTATGCAGATTTGTGAGTGGATGAGAGATCAACAACATATTAAACTCTTACCGGGTGATTATGCTCTCCACTTGGACTTGGTGGCGAAAGTTCGTGGTTTGGCTAGTGCTGAAAAATTCTTTGAAGATCTACCCGAAAAGATGAAGGAAAAATCTACATACACTTCTCTTCTCAATGCCTATGTTCAAAACAAGTTATCCACCAAGGCCGAGGCTCTCATGGCAAAAATGTCAGAATGTGGGTTGCTGAAGAGTCCCCTTCCATACAACCACATGCTAAACTTATATGTTTCTAATGGGCAGTTTGAGAAAATTCCTTTGTTGGTTCAAAAGCTAAAGGCACATGTCTTGCCTGATTTGTTCACTTATAATATTTGGATGAGCGCATATGCTTCTAAAAATGATATTAAAGGTGCCGAGAGTGTTCTCCTTGAGCTGAAAAGGACAAAGTTACATGCTGATTGGGTGACCTATAGCATATTAGCCAGCATATATATCAAAGCAAACGACCTTAATAAAGCGGCTGATGCTTTGAAGGAAATGGAACTTAGGGTTTCTAGGAAGGAGCGTGTTGCTTATTGCTCCCTCTTGACCTTAAATACAAACCTAGGCAGTAAAGATGTTTATAGAATATGGAAGAAGATGAAATTGACCTTCCGTAAGTTGAATGATTCTGAATATACATGCATGCTAGTGTCTCTAGTAAAACTTGGGGATATCGAAGGTGCTGAGAATGTTTTTAGTGAGTGGGAATCAGTTTCAGGAACACGTGATTCTAGGGTCTCTAACGTGCTTCTCTCTGCTTACGTAAGAAATGATATGTCTGAGAAGGCAGAAGAATTTCACAAATGCACGGTAGAGAGAGGAACTATACCTAGCTATACGACTTGGGAAACTCTAGCATGGGGTTACTTAAGAGAGAAGAAGATTGTTATGGCACTTGATTCTTTGAAGAATGCTGTTTCGAGTGTGAAGAAGTGGGAGCCAAATCGTGGGTTAGTGAGAGAATTTTCCAAGACGTTAGAAGAAAGTGGTGACACTGAGAATGCAGAGAATTTTTTGCTGCTTCTCAGGGATGTGAACTATGTGTCAACAGCAATTTACAACTCGGTGCTTCGCACGTATGCTAGTGCAGGAAAGATGCCCCTCATAATACTTGAGCGCATGAGGAATGATAAGGTTGAACCTGATGAAGAGACCCACAAGCTTCTCAAAGTAACAAGCAAGTTGTGTGTGGGTGGTGTTGCAAGGGCCCTGTCTTAAGTAACATTATGAAAGTGTTTCATTTCCACGTATTTGTAGAACCATGAGGATTGGGCTGCAAAACTTTGGTTGGGTTTGTAAGTTAAGAAACAAACTACTATAGTCCAATTTACCATGGAAAACTGTAGTCAATTGGAACCATGCCCTGTTCTAGTGGACTCACTATCCCTCCATCACCAACCATCATTACATGAGATGGTGATGACCGAAATGGAATATAGTTTCAGAAAGTCCAGTCGATTGTGTCATTTGGTAGACACATGGGAGCAGATATGAAGAGCTCGTTTGTTGGAGATGACTATCGACAAGAAATCAGCAGTTTCTATTGGCAAATGTGTTTCTCTTTTGAATCATTATGTTATGCATGAGCTCTTTGGAATGGAGAGGATTTTATTGAACTGGATCTGCCTTCAAGTACCGCCTTCCCGAACTGTCAGAAAGTTGAAGAAAAAAGAAGTCAATTCTTGCATCATCGATTGGATATTTGAGTTTGCACTAGGAGAACACGACCCAGAATTTCTGTCTTCAACATATTCAACAATGCATGATATTGAACAAATGGAAATTATAATATGATGAGGTTTGTAGAAGTTATGTAGTGGGTTCCAAAATCAAGAAATTGAATTTCTTAAGTTGAACTGGGAATTCCCTTGGAAGCAACCATAGGCATTATCATTGGGAACTCATGTGATATCAGTTGGTTCGAGGTTTCCAACTTTTTTGCTTGAGTTCTAGGTATCCACAGAAACATCTAACCGGTGTATGTGATTTCTTTTATACTTGATTTTGCCATCAAGAATGTAACGTATTTATAGAAGTTACTGTTTATGGAGTATGATTATTCCATTTCTTACTTGCTTCCTTTTGGTTTCTTCGTACTGAATATAACATGAACTTTGTTACTTATATTCGCTTTAATGCGTTTCTTACTTTTGCCAATTTTCTTTTAAACAAAGCTTGAACGACCAGATCCAAGGTTATAAAAAGAGACAAGAATATAATATTGGTTTTGTCACCCTCTCAACGGGTCCACAACCGGTTCAAAACCTCAATATCTTTTGCGACCTACTCTTTATGGTCTTTTTAAAAGCTAAACCCTTATGTGTAAGAAACATCAGTCTTTCCTTTTGTGTGCTTTTAATGTGTGGTAGTGGCAATAACGAAAGGGATTGTATGTTATGAGACTATTTATCTTTGTTGTAAAGTGTTTACAGTTATTTCTAGTCATTTGATGAAAAATTGGATGGTTTGGGGTGTCACAAAGTTTGATTTTTTTTTTTTTAACTTTGAGTCTGGTAGATAACATTCTTATAACGACATGATTGTTTGTGATCTCTTTATTAGTAAATGGTCATTTTATATACTTTCCATACCAAAAAGCCATGTGTATATATAAGAGTATCTGTTTTTTTAGGTAATTCAATGGGGAAGTTTTTTCAAATTCAGTGGATACTTAAAAGCCACGTGTGTATTATATGAGTATCTTTGTTTAGTTAATTCAGTGGGTTTTTTAGGTAATTCAGTGGGGAAGACATTCCCCTACCCGTTTTGGATACTAAAAAGCATATTTTTTTTAGGTAATTCAGTAGGTTTTTTAGGTAATTCAATGGGGAAGACATTCCCCTATCCATTTTGGATACCAAAAGCTACGAGTGTGTATATATAAGAGTATCTTTTTTTTAGGTAATTCAGTGGGGAAGACATTCCCCAACCCGTTTTTTCAAATTCAATGGAGAAGATATTTCCCTACTCATTTTTTCAAATAAATTAGGAGTTAGCTTTTTGAAGTTACTAGTGGGGTGGTGTTAGTGGTGGGAATGAAAACCACAATGTAGTAACTAGGGTATGGAGTGCTACCACCACGATTTTAACCTCTTGTATATGTAAGAGTAACTCAAGAAGCCAAATTACATGCTTGCCACCTAGGTGGCGATCTTATCCTATTCTCTAGAGATCAAATTATTTTTCTAAGTTATAAAGGTAATGTCCTCCAATCGGCACTCGAATTCCCCATATTGCCCTGAAGTATCAATTTTTAGCTTTGGTGCTTAGAAGGCCTTGGTGCATCCAAGAAAAGGAAAACCATAATGCTTTGCTTTTTATTATTATTATTATTATTATTATTTTATTTTTAATATATGATACTGTTTCCATTTTCACATTGGGAAAGACTTGATGGACCATCGGGTCCCAATTGGTTAATTGGAGCCGCAATTCAACCTCCAAATCCCAGTTGGGTGTGTTTGAAGGACTCCAAGACGATTCGATAGAGGAGAAAGTTTATAGGAGACATCAACCTTATACTATACAAGTAAGGGGCTCTTTAAAAACCTACCAAAAGGTTTTTTTCTCACTGGAAAACTCTCCAATTGATCATCTTGACCGTCCATGGGAACGAATTACCAAGAGTAACATTTAATTAGAAACTATTGCATGTTCCTGCTGGTCATCAAAACTGGTAGTGTGTCCCCAAGAAAGTAGAAAACTTCATTTATGGAACTGGAAACCAAACGATTTTCAAGCACCCTTACAATGAGAATCAATGGTTTCCTTAGTTTGTCTGAATCTAAAAAGATATATGCTTTTGCAGGACCACATCTTCAATTCACTTATGTAAGACCTCACGAAAAAAAGGATAATAATGCATACTCTATACGGCCCGGAACAAATAGTGTCTTAAGATTGAATAGGGTTTGTTCAATATTTGAACCGTTGGATCCAAAGAGTTCAGAAACTAAAAGATCCAATTTTTTCCAAGAATCCTCAATAGTTTAAAGCACACCCAAAAAATTTAATGTCTAAAAGATTCTCTTAAGCAGGGTAAATATACTGTGGTCTCCCGTAGAGGCGCGCTACAGGCATCTCAAATCAAACAAATCACCCAATGAAGGGGACGGTCTAGATCTAAGGGTGGCAAATTCAATGTTGTTCATGAACTGGTGTTTGAGGTAAAAGAGTGTTTAGTGACCCCCTATTTAATTCACCACAAGTGTTGTGAAAAGTTTAGTGGCTCTATTTAATACAGCACTAGTGTATGAAGACTTTATCCATCTTTGTCGGTAGTAATTCCGGGGGGTCTTTACAAAATTTGGCTTCGTTCTTGGCATCTACTTCCAGAAAAAGAAGCCATCTCTCAATTGGGCGTGAGCATGGGCGTGGCGTGGGCACCACCCAAAATACTGAGCCATAATTATACAGAGAGAATTTTAAAAATACGAAAGCTTTTAAGCCCCACTCATAAACCCTGCAATCATTACCACCAAAACAGTTCCATTTGTCTTTTCGGCTCGGCCCCAAAAGCCTAACTTAAAGCTAAAGAGAGAGAGAGAGAGAGAGAGAGAGAGTGAAGCACACTACATCACTAAGAGTGGCGAGCCCAAAAGAAATAACACACACCAGAAAAACAGACAATGCTGAGCAAACCAACCCCAAACCCAAACCCCCTCCCCCTCCCCCTCTTCTCTCTCATCATCTTCTCCATACTCTCTCTGGGCTTTCAATCCTCCTCTGCCTACACCTTCATCTATGGAGGTTGCTCCCAAGCCAGGTACCAACCCGGTTCCACCTACCAATCCAACCTAAACTCCCTCATGACCTCTCTCGCGAACTCCGCCTCCTCCTCTCTCTACAAGACCTTCACCTCCGGGAGCTCCTCGGATACCGTCTATGGCCTCTACCAGTGCCGCGGAGACCTGGGCACGGCGGACTGCGGCCGCTGCGTCCAAAACGCGGCCAGCCAGCTCGGCCTCGTCTGCCCGAACGCCTTCGCGGCCGGCCTCCAGCTGGATGCCTGTTTCCTGCGATACGAGAACACTAATTTCATAGGGAAGCTCGACACGACGCTGGTGTACAAGAAGTGCAGCAAGAGCAGCAGCGGGGACTCGGAGTTCTTGGAGAGGAGGGAGGATGTGTTTGGGGCGGTGATGGCGGGAGGCGGAGGGTTTAGGGTTGGGGGGTCGGGGCTTGTGCAGGGAGTGGGGCAATGCGTCGGAGACCTTGCCACGGGGGACTGCGCCGCCTGTTTGGAGACCGCCGTGACAACGCTCAGAAACGTTTGCGGAGCCGCACTTGCAGGGGACTCGTATTTGGCGCAGTGCTATGTCAGATACTGGGCTTCAGGCTACTACTCACATTCATCTCCAGGTAATCTTACTTACATTTTATCTTTTACTTCTTTGCCAGCAGGCCCGCCCCATTACCCCCACCCGGGCGGGCCTTCGACAAATACAAATGCGTTAAAAAGGGCTCAAAACCGCGTTGGTATTGGCCGCCCTCGGGCCACGCCATAGTTTGTTGCTCGGGCCTCCTTTTATAGGTCAGTTTTTCCTTTTGTTTTCTTCGTTTTTGTTAGAATTTTGGTAATTTGGATTGATGGGAAATTCTATTTTCTTAATTTTTTTCTCGTTTTTTTTTTTTTTTCCTTTTAGTTTTAGATACAAACACACCTTCTTCCAAACCAAATATTTTGTAGGGAATTTGATTGTCAAGTGATATATCTTATTGGAAATCTAATTCATATTCACACGGAAAGTAAATTGGGGAAATTTTACATTTTTAATTAGCTTTGAAGAGTAGGAAAAGAAAATCTCAAGGAAAGTACATTGAGGTTTCTTCGTAAGAAGATCTCCATGTAAAAGGTTTTCAAACTAACTAATAAACAAAGTTAGATAATTTAAAGAGGAATAGTTAGATAATTTAAAGAGGAATTGTTTTATCAAGAGTCGTCAAAAACGGTTATAATTTGTAAACTATGGGAAATCAATTCCTTAGGAGGGAAGATAGGAGTTTAACCAAGAGTGTGTCATTTGGAAAAGGCTTAGAAAGTGTAGCCCATGGGTCCACATTGGGCCTGCTGTGAGTTTTAACGCGTCCTATATTAACTATACTGCTTTTTGGCAACTAAAACTTTATTTAAATACAAAATTCACTTTTATGAAAACTCTACACCTTCTAAGGAAAAATTTATGCAAGGTTCAACTTTTTCCTAAGGTGCAGCTCAAAAATCCGCTAAAAGAGCGCGTTCAGGGGTATTTTCTAATTGATCATCTCAACTTCGAGATGTATAAATATAAAAAAAATAAATTTTATATCTTATAAAATAATACATTTTGCAATAAGTTATCTAGACCATTTATTTTCAAGATTTTCAAGTGTTTAAAGAGTTTTTTTAATATCTTTTTTAAGATTTTAAATTTCATTACTAGAAATAAAATTAAATTTTGAAACAGGTTTCTGACATGAGAACTACATCTAAAAACAAAATTTAAAAATGCACCTTATCTGCTGTACGAAGAAAGATTCTTATGTGAACCTCACTACTTCTAAAACTGACTCTTTACTCTCCCGTGAACCCTTTGGGTCTCTACCCCGTTTCGTACTTTCTCTCTCTACACCTTTTGGACGTTCTCCCCCTACCCCTTCCTACCCTCTGTTCGCTTTGGAAAATTGTTTCATCAGGGCTGGACAGCATTTCTACATAAACAGTTCAGAAAGTATAAATACAAGTAGGTGTTCTATCTAAAAACAAGAGAAATTAGTGCTCCAAATGTTCTCTTACTAGAATTATTATTTTTAGTTTTTAAAATTTATTTATTTTTTCATATTCATGATCTCCATGTTAGAGATTACATATTCTTAAAAATTAAATCTGAAAATCCATCTCAAAAATAGATTTATTAAGAGGCCCGCATTTCTACATACAAGCTTGGCCACACAGAAACCGGGTCCTTCTGCTTTAGATTGAGAATTGTGATTTTTCATCATTTGGGTTTCTTAACCCTTAGTTGACCGTTGCAATGAATTCATCATTTTTATTGCACACTCCGACTTCTCTCACTGCGGTCCATTTTCTCTTCTACACAGGCATCTTTTTTTTGTTTTTTTACCAATTTTGGTTCTTACGCTGCTCAGAGAGGTTAAATGATTTTCCTGTCCTTGTTCAATGCTGCAATACTTCATAATATGTAAAATCCGTACTGTGGATACCTTCTTTCCCTCTCTTGCTCTCTATCAAGGTAATAAAATTTCTTGGTTTTTCTTTTCACTGTTTTGAATCTTACCTCTCTTTCATGAGGTTAAAAAACCATGATCAGGTTTCTCTCTCCTCATTATTCCTAGGTATTGTTTATTGGTAGGGCTAATGGGTGGGGCGGCCTCGCCTTAAAAGTAGGGCCTGGGGCACAAACTGTAGCCTGAGGACGGGGTTAGGCTCAGTTTGGCCCGGCCTAACCATTTTTTTATTTTTATTTTTTTTAATTTTTATTAAGGTAATTCAGTGGGTGTTGGCCAGGTTTGCTCTGGCCTGACCATATTTTTTTTTTTTTTTTTTTTTTGAATAAATTTAGTGGGGAAAGATTGTCCCCTTCATAATTAGGTTTTTTGAAAGTAGGTTTTCTAAAAGTGTTAGTAGAGTAGTGTAAGTGGGAATCTAAATCACTACTGTTATCACTACGACCCTATTCCCTTTTCTGAACTCACATTAAACTTCCTTGATCCATAACCTTAAAATAGAAAAGAATTGAGCATCACGGTTTGTCTCGACCATGTCGCAAACCCCTCCAAAATCCTTACTGGAACCTCTTCGTTCACTTGGAACATGTTCACCTGCAACATGTCTCATGATTCAAAGCCTTTAACTTTGATTTAGTGTTTCAAAACCTTGATAAGTAGGGCAGATCGTTCACCTACATATTCATGTTGGATCACTGGATTGGCAATTTGGATTGGGCCTCGATCGATCGGAATTGGTTATGCAGAAAAATGTTAAAGAATGAATGAAATAAAATAACAATTAAGATAGAGGTTTATAGGTCTGAGATATAGAAAAGACATAAGAAAATATTAAATAAGCATTATATATATATATATATATATATATATATATAGT